TTCTTTCTTTTTTTCATTTTAGGTTCATTCTCATAGTCGTGGTTGCAGATGGGCGACTGTATCTGTATGAAAAGCCTGAGACTGACTTTCTGGACTATTAGGCCATGGGGACCCATCACCCATTCACCCTCACCTCATCGCCCATCATTATTCGGTCAAGCTGAGTGTTTGCTACGGCTATGGCCTTAGACATGTACATCAATCCAGTTCCAGGCCAGGCTTATTTCTGGTCTAAAAAAACAAAAGGATCGTTTTATTATCAGTGTAAACTGTTCTCAAAGCACTAAAGAGCTTGGTCCAAGGCTGGCTGGCTGTCAGTTGTCACAACTCACAAGGCTGCTCATTACCCAGCCCAGCCCTGCTCACGCTAATAGGTGTATCTTCTGCACAGGAAGGCCCCACCTAATGAACCAAATCTATGACACACTGTGGTTCATCCAATCCAAATAACACCAATGACGTGATATTGTGAACTTAGATGATTGATTTTATGGCCATGAAATTGAAGATGGATCGATCATTGATGCGAACAAACTAAGATAATGGTCCATGAAAGAGACGGCATTATTTCCTTACTTCCTGACATTCTCATATTTCTACTCCCTTGCCATGATCGACAACGCAGAGTGCTTACGGCTTACTACTTGACTAGTCAGTTGTACTTATCCCTTTTTTGGTGTGGTTATAAAAAAGAGAAAAGGTGAGCCTCTATCAAAAACTTGACCTTAATCCAGACGAATCACCCAAGGGAATCTCCCTTAGAGGCTAGAACAATCAATATCAATAGCAGAAACAGGTTGTAGATGCAAGTGGTCCTGTACAATCCTCCATCCGGCATGTGGTTCACCTTCCTGAACACGTCTGGTTTATGGACGTGAACGACATCACCGACCGCTGCTTGCACTCTTTCTACTTTGCAGGATTTTATCTGACAACTATCAAGGGATCACCTCCCAAAAGGCTGTTGTTCTTTACAGCTCTATTCCCCTTTCCAAACTTCAAAGACAATCACTAACTGCTATGGCCACAATTAGCAGTTTTTTTTTTTCTGAGCACTCACAAATAGCAGTTATGTGTGTGTGTGTGTGTGTGAGAGAGAGAGAGAGAGATAAACCCATTATGCTTGTATAAATAGATTAATGAACGTATTCACGGTTACCTTTTTCCCAGAGAACAATTTTGGATTGATTATCCACAAAAATCTCACCAAGCAAATGACATCCTCTAGTCTTCTTTCCTGAGGGCTACGTTTTCCATTTTTTGGTCACCACAGAATCTTTCCTCAAAACCTGCTATGATGCACAGACAAGACCACTGTTGGATTAATTCAAAAGGGATCACTAAATTCCTGCCTTTCCAAGTTAATCACTATCCCAAGTCTCATCAACATCCCTTGGTGTCTTGATTCTTTTATCATTTATCCAGTTCATCCTATCCTTCTTCAATTCACAAGCTTCACTGCTGCTCCAGTAATCAGAAGTATCTTCTTGTGATGCTCCTGAGTTGTGCCTTTCATCATGATCTAATCCCCACAACTCATCTTCCGATTTCATAGATATATCCTAGTATTCATTGTTTTTTCCTCTTACACCGGCCCCATATCTTTCCTTTAAGGCTCCATTATTCTTCTCTCTGTCATTCCCATTCCCTTTCCTGTTTACTACTTTTGATATGAATTCATCATCTGTTTCATCCACATCACTGTCATCTTCCGTACCATCAGAATCACACTCATCACCAGATGCCCTAACAACCACGTCTTCATCACTATCCCATCTATGTATATTACTATTCATTCTTCTATCACGAGTTTCCTTCCAATGCCTCCCCTCTGTTTGCATCTCATCTTCTGAATCTCCACTACTTGGTGAAAGAGACCTTCTGGTTCTCCTACCCAAATCTTCTTTGCTCCAATATCTCATTTTACCTAATTCTTCTTTCTCTGCAGCTTCTTCTGCTTCCCATTCCTGACTTGCTGCATCCTCAATTTCAGCTATAAATCTGTCAAGTTCTTCCTGGTCACTGTCCTCGGAAGCATGGTCCTCCCTAGTGTCGGACTCAATTATTGGTTGTTTGTTCCCATGGAAGACATATGGACTTCCTTCCCTCTTGTCAATTGCATTGAAGAATGTTGAAGCTACTCTCTGGATGCTTGCCATGGCGACAGGATCCTCGGGGTTTACACCCATACGCCTGAGCTGTTGCTCAATTTTCTTTATGTTCAGTTTTTGAGAATCAAGTGCCTGTTCAAACCTGGCCTTGAATAATGCCTGCATACCAAAGGAGAAAAGCATGTATGTTAGTCTTTCAAACCACAAGTTGCCTGATGATGCCAATTTCTAATCCTAATATTCCCCCATAACTTTTTTAGAGGTGAGATTTCTCCTCCTGGTTATACTGCAGCAATGGGTTGAAGAGGCCTGTACTGCATGCATGAGTCTGGTAAACTGTCCTTATAGTTTACCATGTATTACTTTGCCACATGCAGTGTGTCCTGAAAAAGAACATAGGTCGAAGTAGGACAAAATGATTTAAGGTCTCATGATTTAACAATGGATATGACATTGAATAGAATGGAATGGTGAAACAGGATTGATAAAACCAAACCCCATATAGTTGGGGACAACACTTGGATGATGATGATGATGATGCAGTGTATTCTGAGCTTTGACATTTCAAGATGCCAAATACAGAGAGTAAGTAATGTGAGAGAAGGCATAATGTCAGGTATACACACCTTCCTTTTTGTAAGTGTATTGATGGGTATCAGATTCTTTGGCTGTCGATAATTTCTGCCACGGAACATAATAATAGTTTTCACATTATGTATGTTAACCACAATACCACCACTCAATCTAGCAAGCATGGTTGCCATCTCTTTGATTTTTTCCTTGGGAAAGTTATCACAACAAACTTGCACAGTTTCATGAAACTTCCAATGGAGATGCATGTTTTGCACAACACCTCCAAACACTCCACGGACACCAACAGGAACATAGTTTTTGTTTCTGAAGCCAATTTTTTTATATGCTTGAAGCTGCTCGGATGTCAGTAGCTCAGGGTCATGCCTAGGCGGTGGTAGCTCTGGTAACTCGTACTTTTTGAGTTTTTGCAAAAGTAAAGAAACTTTCTTTTTGGCCTTCATCCAGCAGAGACAATAGACAAATTCAGTTAATTTAAAAAAGAAAGAAGTTGCAGAACTCATACAGCAAGCAATGACTAATTAAAATAATTGATTATCTGAACCAATAAATAATAAAAAATAATTCTCTTTCTAAAAGTATCAAGTCTCAATCCTAGTTGCTTTTGTTGCATTCTTTTATTTTCCCTTGCAGAAAAGGAAAAAGGAAACCCACTCTCTTATGACAAATTAATTTCATTCAGTGTTGTCAATGTGGTGACACAATGACTAGTCATCATAGCTTCTCTAATCAATGCAATCACTAGTTGGTGTCTAGGTGCTGACCGGTCAATTACAAAACAAAAATGTTCAAAGCTAAATTATTGATGAAATCCCACATATATAACAGACTGAAAATATGCAACAAAAGAAGGCTAGTTAAAAATTGATTATTTTAATAAGGCTGGATAGGATAAGATAGGTAATTGTAGTCTTGTTTCTTCAAATAGTATAATGTCTTCATAGTTTGTTGCAACTCTGTACCAGCATACTATTGATTGCAAGAAGACCTAAAAGAAAACCTCTTCCATTGCTCATTTTATTTTATACTTTATTTTAAATAATTAGAGATAAGCAACAAACAACTTTATGGTCAACTGGGTCGATTGGTCATTAATTGATCTATTCAACCTGGTTGATACATAGTTCTACTAGGTGACCACACATGTGGGCATCAACTGACTAGTTAGTGGTGCAGCAAGTAATGGTGCAAATGACAATTTGACACTTTGATAAAACTGATCCATTAACTCTTCCATTTGTTAAACCGATTTCTTGAACAAAGGTTCCACCATGCTTGTCCTATGCTCTCTTTGTCCCTAAAAATGCTCCCTCACTTTCACTTCCTATTTCCAAATAGATCACAAGTTATGGTTCTAAATGTATTAACAATTCAATTTGTTTCTAGGTAATAATTTTGTCACAATTAACTGACAATAGTATTGCAAAGTACACATTAACCTAAAAGCTCTTCTTAGTTTCTTGTTCCTGCAAGATCTCTCTCTTACATAAGAGTTATACTTATGGAGTGAGGATCATCTAGACTTTAGACAGAATAACAGCTTTGGTCCACACTTTTACATTGAATATTGTGTTCTCACAACTAGAGACAACGAAAATGTCTCCCTATTCCAAACATAAAACACATATAGAAAGAGGTATCAGGTAGGTCTAGGTCTCTCCCCTATGAACAAAGAGATACATGGACAAAGAGATTGAAGAGTTAAGAAAAGAACAGGAAAAAAGAGGTCTGATAATGATCAATGAAAGAGACCTATATTTCTCTCCTTTCATATTGTTTTCTAATCCCTAGATTGTCTACTCACAATGTGCAACTTATCCTTCAAATGTCCCCACTCAATGGATTTCTGTAGAAGAATGGTTTTGGTGTTGAACCAAACAGCAATCATGAATAACGGATTGTCGTCTAAATGGTTGAGCCTCTGATCTTTTTAGAAATTTGCTTTGTAAGATCACACTAATAGAACAATCAAGCATTCCAATAAATATTATCATGCCAAGCAAGTAATGAGAGCAAGCAACCTAATGGCAACACTGGTCAATCTGGCTATATGAGATTAGTTCTCTCCACAGAGAAAAGACGCAAGCTGAATGCATTCCAATTACCTTTTTCACATGTTTTTCATTGGACTTTGGTGTTGTTTATATTTATATTCATGTTTTTTTTTCTTGTTAAGGTTCTGTAAGGCTCCGTTTGGTTTGTGGGATGGGGATGAGAAAAAGGGAATATTCCTCTCTCATTTGTTTTGAGGGAAATAGAGGGATGGGATGGGAAAAATGTGGGATGTCAGATCCCAAAATCATGGATTTGGGGTCGCACCAAAACCGTGCAACCCCGGTGGAAAATTTTGAGAATTCACTGTTAGCATCAACAACGAACAGAGGAGGGAGAGAACCAGTGCCTTCCCCGTTACCATCGGCGATCTGCTACCTCTCCTTCCCCATTCGAACCCAGAAGCAGAGCAAAGTCAGCGGCTTCTCTTTCTTCTTCTACTACCTCCCCTTTCAAACCCAGATCTGCTCCCTTCCCCGTTTAAACCCAGAAGCAGAGCGGCGGCGGCTTCTCTTTCTTCTTCTTCTGCTACCTCCCCTTTTGAACCCAGATCTGCTACCTTCCCCGTTCGAACCCAGAAGCAGAGCAGCGGCGGCAGCTTCTCTTTCTTCTTCTTCTGCTACCTCCCCTTTCGAACCCAGATCTGATACCTTCCCCGTCCGAANTCTGATACCTTCCCCGTCCGAACCCAGAAGCAGAGCAGCGGCGGCAGCTTCTCTTTCTTCTTCTTCTGCTACCTCCCCTTTCGAACCCAGATCTGCTACCTTCCCCGTTCGAACCTAGATCTGCTACCTCCCCTTCCTCTCTCTCTCCCCTCTTCTTCATCACAGTGCTTTTCCCATTATTTTCCCATATCTAAAACCAAACAATGGAAGTGTAGATTTTTACACTTTCCCATCCCATCCCATCTTTTCCCATCCCACCCAAATCTTCCCACAAACCAAACGGAGCCTAAAAGGCCTTTCAATAAGTGCACTTCTGAAATCTACTGAGCAAGCCATGGGATTGGAGTGCTTTCAAGGTAAGAGCCATGTGTAGAGCTTGTTCATCACTGATTAGCTTGAAATTTTGTGCTTAGAAAAGGAAAGGTCCTATTTAATAATCGATGAATACAAATTGTTCCTACCTAGTAAGTGAGGCCTGGAGCAATAGTAGCACTTCTGAAACAGTAAAGTAGAAAATATAGCATTTTTAGGTTGCTTTTAAAAACATAGCACAAAAGAATAATAATATGTACTGTAGTGGTGACTTAGTTATTACAAGATGATGCTAAGATACATGTTTCGGGCTTGCTACTCTCTTCCATGGGAAATCTCCAAGCTACATAACCATGTTCCTATTTCTAACCTCCCAACACCAACACCCCCATATTCCCTTCTTCTGTACACAATATCCTACTCAATAAGGTGATGTCTTATTTATTTCAAAGTTGTGCTGAAGTATGAATTTAGGCTTATCACTGTCTTCCAATAGGACATTTCCAAGGCTATTTTCCTAGAAAAGACATGTTCCTTTCTCTAACCCTCTCAAAATCAAGGCTCTGATATTCCTTTCTCTTGCACACCCCACTTAACAAGGTCATCCTTCTTTGTAAATCTTCTCCATCCACTGTATATCATTTCAACTTAGCAGTCCGGAATACTATAATAGCATGTTTATAGAAGTTAATTACATTTGATTTAATCCCCTTGCCCTGGGAAGAAAAGGTAGTTCTTCTTCTAGGCTGCCGGTTTCTTAGCAAACCTTTCCTCCACCACATCCCACAAGGTTGTAGACCTAGGACTGTACTTATATCGAAGAAAATTGGAGGAAACTTACCTGGAAGTTAAACGGGATTAATAAGTAGGAAATTTGCAATGAAAGTTTCATATGGAGTCACAACTTTAACCTTTTTCCTTGGTAGAGTATAGGAAATAAGTCATCCTAGGAATGCATCAAGACAAAACAATCTGGTGGGAGTTTTATATCTTTTTTTTTTTGAAGATAAATAAAAAATAAACTTTATAGATGAAGGAAGGGAAAAGAGAATACAAACAGGATGATAAGGAATCACCCAAACAAGAACTGACCCAAATGCAACAGACCCACCCTAACAAGATAAATCCTTAAAATAGAAAAGCAGCCCTACAAATAATGCAACAACCTTCAAAACAAAATGCAGAGACCCTTTCTACCCAACTGTAAAAGACTCAAAAGCAACCAAAAAACTTCAGATCCCGCACCAACCAACCCTTGCCATAATTACATAATAAAAAACACCCTAGGCCAACCCAACCCTCTGAGGACAAACTTAAACTCAAGCTTCCACGAGTTGTTTTAGTTCATAATATTTAAGAAAAATCAACTGGCTGCCTTCTCTGCTTCCATGTTCATTACAGCAATCTATAGGCTTGTGATTGGAGTTTTTTATGGATAGTCCTTTGTATAGTAATCTTCCTCGTTGGTCAGTATACCCTTTTTTGTTTTTTTCTTTTCCTTTTTTGATTGGTGACTGTTAAAAAGTTTAATTAGGTTAAATAGAGAAAAGAATATATACAACTACCAAGCAACCACCGTCTAGGTTGATACCTATCATCTAAGCCCTTTTCTTTTAACTGCTTACATACAATTTCAAGATAATCCCCAGAAAAACTGAATCCTATTAACCATCCTTTTCAAAGCATCAACAAAGCCATTTTCTGATCTATGAAACCACAAGAATGTGGTTTCTAGATATCTTGTCACTGATTTGATCTCTCTCATGTTGTTTCTGTATTGCCACGAGAAAGTGGTACACTATATTTTTTTAGTCTACTGCTGTCAATTAGTTCTGTGATTCTGGTTTACCATCTAAAAAAAGTTTCTGGTTTGAAACAGCTATTCTCTAAACATTACCGCCAATAACAATTACCAAGGACTAATTATATCTTCGGGACTAATTCAATGCAGAAACTCTAGATCTGAACTGTGAATTATTTAGCATGTTATTTTCCATTTTGTGTTGATATTAGCGGTTGCAATTGACTTTTAGAGACTTCTACGGAATAGAAACTTTAAGTGTCAATCATCCAGCTGTATATTAACATATTCCGTATCATGCTTGGTAGAGATTCAAAGCATGAATATTTGATTATAACAGCATTCTTTTCGGCAGCTTAACTTAAGTATAGTAGGCCAAGAAACTAAAAAGCCTAATGCTCAAAGTAGAATCAACTATCAAGGGAACAAGAGAGGATCCAAAAGAAAATATTCTGCAAGAAAATAATTAAAAAAAATGACAGAAGAAGGTGCATAAATGTAGCTTGAAACCGTTTTGCTACCCGGAATTTACAAATAGAAAGGATTTGTATATTCATAAGAAAAATGAAAACATTAAAAAGAGAAGGGAAAAAGAAAACATACTCTTCTAAGGTTGTAAATAAGCCTCTCTTCGTCCGTCATCAACTTTTTCCTCAACTTCTGAGCTCGCCTCTTCTCCCTCAGGGTTTTGCCAGTTTCTAATCTCATTCTCTTCTCCACCTTGCTCCGCATACTCCTTCCTCTTGCTGTCGACATTGATCTACTCCCATTAAAGTAATTCAACACCCACGAAGAAAAGAAGAATCTTTTGTCGCCCGCTAATCTCGATTGAACCTCGTTGCAGCTAGTCAGCAATTTAGAAGAAGTACCTCTCGAAAGCACATTGTTCCTGATTTTTTTATCACGGAATAGACATATACAAATCAAATCCAGGATAAAAAATTTAATATCTAAAGAACCCTAACTGGGGCATCTAAGTTAACATTACTTGTTGTCATTTAGGAGAAGAGAAGGGAGGGCCTTAACGCAGCGCCTTTGAATGTTCCTCGCCGCCCACATGGTTTACCGAGAGAGCTCGGGAATTTCTCCAGAAGGACTTCCTTCGTTAGCTAGCTATGTAAACACTCTATTTTGCCATCGGCCATTATCGCGTAGAGAGAGCAGCAAAAGCTTACTCGTTGCAGATCACTCCCTAAAAATATCCAACGTCGTGAAGGGATTAAGGGAAGAGACGTTTTTACTTTGCACGAAGGCTGAAGCGGAAGCGCTGCTGAAAAATCAGCTATTCCGGTTGGATTTGCCCTGCGCTAAAACTGTGATTTTACGGCCCTCGATGTATTGATGTGGCCCACCTTGAATGGGATGAAATGATGTAAGGTGGGGTGATAACAATGCATCAAAGGCCGTGATTTCACAGTTTTAGCCCAGCGCTACGCCAGCGGCAATAGCTGATTTATTCTCTAAGGTAGCGTTCCATAGATCCAAATTAGGGCTGCAAATGATACCGTTCATCCGAATTCGAATCAATCGGAATCGGGTTAGACTTAAGAGTGATCCAAAATAGATCCGTTTATAATTAAGATCGAATATGAATCCGCCCTATGGAATATGAGTCCACTAAATATTTATATTGTTTTTTATTGTTGTGCTTTTAGGTTTTAAAATTTATGATATCGAAAGACTTTTGACCAATCAAAACATCACGTGAATTTTGATTAATATCACTTGATTGGTTATCTCTTTTAATGCCATTTGATTGATTCTGAGCTTTTTCAATATTATGTATATCCGGTCTTAGAGAATTTTTATCTTTCTAAGGAAAAATAATGTCAAAATATTGACTTAAATTTTGACGAAATTAGGATTTTTAAGAAAATAATATATATCAATATTCACTTGAGCGTATCCAACGATGCCACTGGACCGAGTTAAACAGGGTGTAATAGGCACGTTAGGTAAACACAATGAGTAAGCACTTAATAGCTGTGTGACACATGTCTTAATTAATACGCTTTTCATCCAAACATTTTTTTTCCGTTAGACATAAATTATTCATTATTTTATTATTTTTGTCAAAATAATTAAAAATAAAAAAAAAAACATAAATGAGTCCCAACTCCTAACACGTTTAGGTTTTCCTTTTTTATTGTTTTTTATTTTTAATTATTTTGACAAAGATAATAAAATAATGGATAATTTCTGTCTAATGGAACAAAAATGTTTTGATGAAAAACGCATTAACTAGGACATGTGTCATACAGCTATTACGTGCTCACTCATTGTGCTTACCTAACGTGCCTACTACATCCGAACCCGGTCAAACAATAAACTAAGAAACTGGAACCCACCCTATTTTGATTATTTAACCCAAATTGGATTCAGGTTTCAGGTTTGGCTGACTCACCTCCCCGGGTCATGATACCCCTACATGTATATAGAGTGTTCTTGTGATTTTTTATGATTTATCATGTTTATTTTGGTTTTTATTCTTTATTGTGGATGAAATGACACTTAGAAGCCATAATCTAAATTCTAACTTAAATTATTTATTGCCTTTGTATTTTCAAAATGTGTCATTAAAAATAGGATGAAAGACTTAAACCTCCCCTAAGCTTTCTTGTAAGGGTCTGTTTGTTTTTTGGATTTTGAGGGGGGGAGGGGGGGAGTTGGCTAATGGGGTTTTGGTTTTCATTGACAAATAAACCCATATTCTTTTTTCAGATTAATGTGATTTCATGGAAATTTTATTTTTGTAGGGTATATCCACCTCCCATATGGGTAAGTAATCTTCCCACATGGGGGAAAAGTTGCCAAAACTTTGATGGGGCAAAATTCCCCCTTTTAATAATGGATTTTTATGGCTAAAACAATCATTGTCTTATATACCTAAGAAAGAAAAGAATATGGGTAAATGAATTTACTCCGAATAAGTGTTTCATGGGAAATGCTTACCTACATTTACCCAGATAGATAACTTACCGAAAAGTGAATGAGACCCAAATACTAAAACCTTTCCTTTATTTCCTAAAAGGGCTTAAACCTACCCTATTAGAAAGACTCGATGTTATAACCTAACAGAATTAATAAAAGGATTCATTGGCCCTTAAATATTCTTTAAATTTTCAAAACACATTAAAATAACATGGACTGAGACGATTTGGTGTCCCTCAACAAGTTAGTTTTTAAGCCTCCAAATAAACATTTCATTATTAGCTCAATTATATAATTGAATTAAGTTTGTTAGACAGTTTTCATCAACGACTTTGTATCTCTGCTCATCATCAATTTCCCCATTTTTTTGGTTTGAAGATTATTCTTATCAATAGCTAATTTCTTGGTCACAACAAACTAGATGGACCTTTTTTTGTTGACATGGTGAGTCTTTTCTTTTATTCATCTCTTCTTGTTTATTAATTTCTTTCAGTTGTATCTGTTGGTCCATACTTTGCCTACCTTATTTGTGGTTTTGAGCAATCGTTGATACTGAAGGGCCTAAAGAATTTATCCAAACACTCCCAAAGGTGATTTTTTTTTCTTCTCGTAAGAAAAGTATTTGCTTGTTTCTTTCTTCTTTGTTTTTTTTTTTCTTGTTTTCTGAATATTTTAAAGTTGCCAAACAACTCTTTTTCAACGCATGCTTCTGTAAAAACTGGACGCCTTGTTCGTTCTCACAAGTAGACATGTACTTCTCCTGATTTTCATGGGTGTGGTGTTCATTCAAAACTTCAAACAATACAATGAAAATTCATCAACCTGAATAATGTTCCTCCCCCAATGGCATAGGCCTTTGGTACCTTTTTTTTCCTTTTAATAACTGACTTAAGCTGATCCATTTTGTGATGATTATGCGCATTCTTTCACCATCTTGGCAAGATAGAGTATAGGAACCAATTGCTTAATCCCACCAAACTCAAACTAAACATTCATTCAAGTTACAGACAAAAGATCTGATTGGAACCTACATTATCCACTCTGCTGTATAAGGTTGTTGGACTCTGATGACTGATACCTTTTCAAGGTTGCCTTTTCTCTGTGAGGGAAGATTTTTGTCTAGACATAAAACATGGAAAATTCTTAATCAGTACCATATACTTTAGGGATTGTGTCAAGTTAGTCTTCGAATTTCAAAATATGTTTATGTAGTACTTAAATTTTTAAAAATTGTCTAATAGGACCCTATTTGTGTCAAGCCAGTCTTCTAATTTTCTTTATGTAGTAGCACTTTAGATGTGACGATTGTGGCGGAGAATTGTTGCGTTCATGGACGCAAAATGGACTGAAATGGACTATATATTCAAATTTAACCAACCTCATTAATGGAAATATTAGCGATCCAAATACAAGAAGCTTTAACTTAATTTATCTCAAACATGTTAACAGAAAAGGTTTAAAAATGCACAAGAAATTAAAAAGGTATAAAAAATTAAGATTTAAGAATATACAGGTTGGAACATACCCAGAAGCTCAAGCAAAACAAAATCCCTGAAGTTGGAACATAAACGAAAATGGAGACAAAGTTTACACAACTAAGGTACGTATCATTTAATATTGTTCTTTGTAGAGCTACTTTACTTGTTAGAGAATTGGACAGACCAACTAGGCTGCATATTGAATCTATGAATGTCTATGGTTCTTTTATGCTTAAGATTAAGTGGGTATTCTAAAACTTTTATAAATTAACGTTTTTAGTTTTTTTCCTATTTTTGGGTAAGCTTGTTAAATTAATACAGTCACCAAGTCAAATTTAAACCTGGTAAACTACAATTTAGAATGTGCTTCATCAAGTTGGAAAAATTAAATTGCATTACCAGAGTTTTTAGTATTGACAACTGAACAATTTTTTACTAAGGCTCAGTTTGGAAAAATTAAATTGCAATACAGAAAAAGAAAAGAAAATTCAAGAAAATGAGAAGTTGGAAGATACCCAGAAGCTCAAGCAAAACAAAATTTTTGGGGTCTAGGTAAGCATACGGCTAGTTTCTAGTGAGATGAGAATACCGGAAGAGGAGAATTAAAAGGGAGAGAGAGGAAGAGCTTGATATCACCCTTCAGACATTTTTTTCGTACTTGGTACTTATAAATGTCAAAATTCAGAAAATGGTCGCTTGCAGATTATAAAGCATGTCAAAATTATTTTTTTTATGGCATTTTTTTTCCTTAGGCTGCATTTGGAAATGATGCAAATAAGTATGAAAGAAAATATGTAGAGTGTAAAATGATTCATATAAGTTATAAAATTGGGTTGGTTTTGCACCGACAAATTTGCTTTCTTACCAAATAGACTTTTAGCTGTAATGGATGCAAACATGAATTCCAGTAAAACATATTCTTTTTTATATCAGAAGCCCACTTGAATGCAAATTTACTTCTTTTTTATTGATGTACTTTTACATCTTATTATCAGTAAATATGCATTGGTCTGTCATTTGTCAATGCATAAATGTAGTGTTGTCAAATACAGACAAAAGTGAACCAGAATGCAAATTTACCCTGAACCGGGATTTACACTCCATTTGCATCATTTCCAAATGCAGCTTTACGTAAAGAAGCATATATGTCAATTATTTCTGTTGTCAATTTGTTCAAATCTGTTTCCGGCACCGTCATAGTAATGGCGTGCCTGTTCAATCTCAAGATAGAAGACAATGAACAATATCTTCTTTTAAGGGTAGTTTTGACATTTTTTAAAAATTTTAAATGGCACATAGACCTTGCCGGGCTTTGGGCCAGGCCCATTGGAATTTTGACAAAAGTCAAGCCCAAGCCTGGCCCATGAATAGGTCTAGTGGCATATGTCATCACATGATACATATAACTGACGGACTGTTGACGGTAAGGAATTATTAGACACATTTTGAAAGTTCAGGTACTATAAATACACGTGGACTGGCTTGACACAACCCCCTAAAGTACACAGCACTGATCAGAAATTTTTCTTAAAAATTACCAATTGAAAAGGCTACAATATGGTCGGGTTGGGTCAGTATTGAGTTGACCTAGAGTGTCAAGATGGGTTCTAAATTACATGTTATTAAGTTGAGTCGGGTTAGGGTGGAGGTGAATCCCTACTGAAACCAACCCACACGTTGACATTTGGAAGGAGTATAAATACAAATAAGTAGTGCAAAACCTTGTATTTTGTATATATTTATACTCTATATATTTGTATTTGCACTCCTTCCAAACTGAGCCTTTATGCAATAGCAACACCGCCTCCCCATCATGAAAGATGGGTGTAACCCGAAGAAAAAATGCATAACAAAAGAAGAGGAATCCATATTTGGGCTTACTCCATGGAGTGTGATAATGTCCAGCCATTCACCATGTCAAGATCTAGATATAAATCTGAATGGCGCACAGTGAGATAAGTCATCTAATAGCTTCAATCAAAACTGTAGTGTGCCACTGTGCCTAGAAAGAATGTCTCTAATACGGCCAAAGCTCGTATCATTTGCTAGAATGGACTTAGCGAGCGTTACAGTCACCTTAAGATTCATATAGTCAATATAGTCCAATGATATTCCCAGTCTTAGCAAGTTAGCATATTATAGCTTTTATTGGAGGGGAAGGGTTAAGATGCAGATCGAGGACCAATCCATCCACTAACCACCAATTTTCTCTTCAGGGTCGACGAGTCAAGTCTAATCCAATTCAATCAATACTCGACCATTTTGGATCAGTCCAATTCAATGTTTGAACCATCCAATTTGTTCAAAATGGTTTTAATTTAGATTGGCTCCAACCTAAACCTGCTTCATTGAAACATGTACTCTTATCTTCTATCAATGGTTTGAATATTGATTCAATCCGACTTCCGACCCAATCCAACATAAATCGATTACGGATGAATCAGGTCCAATCCAAACCAATAAATACTTTGGACCATTAAGTCTGGATTGATCCAATTCGTTGAAATTGATTTTGATTTGGATAGGTCCAACCCAAAACCAATCCGAATAATTTTTAGAAAATTAATGTTGGTCTCAGCTATGTGGGGTGATGGGAAATTTCATCTACCCTTTGGCATTTTTTCCTTTTTTGCACAAAGTGACTTCTCTAAAACTTGAGCCCACATTCTCATGTTTATCAGTCCAACATTTTACCCTAAGACCAAGCAATGACTTCCAAAATATTAATATTTTTTTTTTCAAGAAATATGCATGAAATTGGCATTGAACGGGTACCTAGTGATCTTACCAACTGCCCAACATAAACGAAACCACAATTTTTCATATTTAACGTGGATGACACCCATATGTTCACCTAACAACAGCATAATCCAAGCTTCAAAACATAAAAGGAAATGATCTGGCATGGGCACCTGCATGCTGCAGAAGCATCAAAACGAAGGTAAAGTAGGGTGAGATCCACAATGTCAAGTCATATTCTGCTTTTGGATGTTATATTCTAAGCTTCAGCCAGCAGCAGCATCTCCCCATAGCTGCATGTTCAAAGAGCATAAGCACTGTAGAGCTTTACCCCATAGACCATCATTAGGGCATCTGGTGGAAAGTTTTAGGTCGGTGGAAGCTGAGGAAAGCAAAATCTCCTAGTCCTTGACAAACATTTTAGTCTGGTACTGGACCAGGACATAACCTTCAGTAGATAAAGATCCAACCACTCTGGGCAACAGGGAAAGTAGTCTCTGTTTTCATTCTTGAAGATTTAGCCACATCATCTCTCTACAGTCGGTCTAACCAACCCATAATACTTTCTTGTGAACCAAACTGCAGATCCTACAAAACAAGAATGCAAATTTTAACTAGTTAATATTACCAAGTTTACATCAGATTGATCAAGAAAAGTAACCTGACCTATGACACCTGCTCATGGAAACCTAGTATGTGAAGCATACATACTGCCATGCAGTTAATAGACAAACTGTAATAGAAAACTTAAGAGCTACACATGATCAAAGATCAGAAGATGAAACTTACTGCAAGATGAAAATCTGGTGGTGTATCAATTTCTATATCATCAAGGCTGGGGATACCAGAAGCAGTGTTGCCATCTGCAATGAGTGCATCACTCCTGCTACAACCATACTCCGAGAAATTGGGAATAGGCCTTAATCCTGAATTATCTGCAGGAGCATACGAATCAAGAATCTCATTGCATAACAGTATATCATCCATGACATTCAGATCAGGGTCTTCTACAGCCTGAGATTCGCCTGCCCACCATGCAGTGTCCATCCTATCATCATCTAGATGAACAGAAGGAGAAGGCTGAGCTGTTTCTTTGATGCATTCCAGTTCCTAATTAACATAAAGCAATTTCAGTAACTAGTGAAATATATCATTGTCTAAGTACATCTGTTAAAATTCGTAATAGTATATGCAGCAATACTTCACATGCAGCAGTTTGGTCATCCTATTTGAATGCTTACTATATACTGTTGGACAGGAAGGGAAAAGGTAATACAAGAGTGGATGTGGTGGTTGGTAAAGAAGGGGGATCTGAATAGAGGATTATATAGATTTAGAACTAAAATAAAGAAATAGAAAAAAGAAAATAAAGATTTGCTCCTTTAGAGTAACTATTTATAGACTCAACAAACTTCTATTCCAATGATTCAACTCTTATTCAATCATATTTTGACTATGATAGCAGAAAGACAAGATACTGGAAAAACTTGTAATCAATGATCCGGTATCATAAAAGTGGTAACCAATCAGGTGGGTTATTTATCAAATTCACGGGGGTGGGGATGTTGATTGGTCAAAGCCCTTCCAGTATCATGTCTTATATCTCCATTTACAAACTCTGATTTCAAGTAGAAAATCAGCGAAAAACAAATCCTAACTGCTTCAAACTAAGAAAAAGCCATAGGATACTCAGTTAAAGACTTGAACCCCTAAAACTGTAAAATGCCACTAACAATCCTAATTCACTAAATGAACCTAGCTCCAGGAGAGATAAAAAAATGAAAAGATGCCAATCCCATCATGGAATTTCTACCAATATAATAGCAATAACTCTCTCAAAAAATGTGGATTTACAAGAACTTGATTGGAAGATGAATCAACAACTTATTAGACACCATAAACATGCAAAATTAACAAATTTGGCCCTTGAAAAGAAAGGCTGAAATAAAATTAATATCATTACACATTCATCTTTTCAAAATTCTAGAACTTTTGTAATAAGATTCTCTAGAATTCTTTAGACTACTTTTGATCCACTAAGAAAATTAACCCTATTTCTGAGACTTCAACAGCCTAGAAGAAACTTCTACAAGGCTCTTAACCAAAAGTTGAATTACCCAAAAATTATGAAACTGCCATTGGAATAGGAATCTGTAGAAACTTTCTTTCTTAATCCATGGTCTCCTTCCCTTTTCTAAGTTTGCATCAAATATGTTCTTAAAAACTTACCAGGGTTGTTGGAATAAAAGAACTCTATGTCCAACTCACTTGTAGACATGTTACAATCAAGAAGTGGTCAGATGCAACCAAAAATCTTTTAGCTAAGCTAACGTCAATGTGACAAATGATCATAATCATATGGTGGGCCAACTTTACACCCAGAAGATCCCAAGTGGCACCACCAAATGATTGGTCTATGCAACTGCACAGTGTCATATGCACTGCATGGCATTTGTTGACCACCACCAGTCTACAGGTGGAGTCCTCAGATTTTCTTTTCTGACAGTATAACAAGTAAATGAGTAGCTAAGATGAGTGGTGTACACTATCTTCATTGATGTCATCACATAGAAAGCGCTTTCCAGGTCGCCGTATGTCAGGGGTGTTTGTCTTTGGAGTCCTTGGACTAACTTGGAGTGTGACTTTATCAGGTTCTTCATTGACCAGATGGGCTTCAGTCTTATCAGTATGCCTCTGCTGTTGTTGGTAGAAAATTTTTGAAACAACATATTCACCTTCAGTTACATCATCCTTAGTTCCTAGATGGTACTGATGCATCACCCAATTGGACTTATCAGGCTTTGACCCCTTCTTTGAAGTTTTATAGAGAACCATAATCTTCTTACAGCCCTTCACCACTCCATTCTCTATCACAGGTTTGGTTTTACCAGTTTTATGCCATCGTACATGCTCCTCTATTTTACCACCTTGACCATGGATCTTGCGGCGCTTGCGCTGACCAGTTGCATATGCATTTGCTGTTTTATGGAAAAAATGGACACTGCTTCCATCTTTCTTAGCACCTGAGGAAAAAACAAATATAAGAATAAAAAATATGGATCATTCAACTCAATATGGGACAGAATTGAGTCCACAAGTTGGTTGGATTTTCATTTGGCTCAACAAAAAGTAAGCAGAATTCCATTGAGGTCATCCAGCAAGTCAACTAAATTCATTTAACTCAAAAAGGAACTAAATCAAATTATTTTAATCCTTTATTGTAATTTTAAAATTTAAAGTTTTCTTAAGCAAAGTTTTGAAAACCAGACCAAACTGACTGGCTGAACCAGATATATTTCTGGTTGACTGTCTTTCAGTGATTTTTCTCATTATATGGTAGAACCACCCTGTTGAACTGAGAAAACTGGGAACCAGATTGCCTTTCAGTTCAATCCCTAGTCCTTTTCCAAAACTTTTGTCTTGAGATCCTCAACACCAGATAGCAATAATCAAACCATGAACTAGTTGACGTTACATGAGAATCCAATTAGCCATCTTGACTTGAATATTTTGTTTTTCCTCAAAAAACTTGAACATTTTCTTTTGGCTCAACCATAACTCAATGGCCTTGCACTTGACTTGGACAAGGTAAAGGTTGAGAAAACTCATTTCACTCAATGAAAGCAGCTAAATCAATTTTAACTTTTAAATTTTGAATATGTTCTCTAAATTTAACAGGGATGTTAAGATCCTGATGCAGATTGTTGCATCTGGATGTCCAGAGTTAAGTGAGCTACAATTGGAGCTCATTTTATTCTATTAATATGATTTTTTTCATTATTTTCTCCTTTTGATATCTATTATACTTGGTTCCATCTATATCTACAATTTTGCTCACCAGGAAGATTTTCAGGATGAGTATAATAAATTCCTTCATTTCTTTCAATTGTTGGAATGAACTCATCAATGAATAAGTGGGGTTTTGAATCTCCAAGTCCAACTTTTCCTGCTAAATGTTCTAAAATCTCTGCATCAGATGGATCAAACTTTACACCAGCAGGCAGGCCTGGCCATTCAAGTGAAACCTGCATAGAAAAAAGCTCCAAAAGAAAATAACTAAGATTCAATAATTATTTCATCTACTCCTACCAAAACATTAAAATAGCTCAATTACATCCACACAATTTCCCCATATATGCTAAAAACAAGGGAAAAAATAAAGAAACATATGAAAGACTGCAATCATACTCGGGCAATTGGATGATGCTACATAAGGTGCAAGTACAAACAAATGAACTCCATTTGATGTGACCCAGGTTCCAGGCCAAGGTCAGGCTCAACGTAATCAGACAATTTTAATTAAATGATCTCTCATATTCTTTATAACAGTCAATGATCAGATGATTTGGGTCTTTAATGTTGACAGTCAACGTAAAAGATCCTACATGTTGATGCAATTCATAATGGATGAAATGTCCAACAATCATGTTTTAAAGTTCATAAAAAAGAAAAAGAAAGGTTTTCCAGTCAACGGGAGGCCCATTCTTTCAGATTAATACAAAAAAAAAGGGTTGCTGTTCCCCTACAGGAGAAAATTGTCATTGATGGATAGCTGAAGTTAGGCTCTAGCAGTGGCATGTTTGAAGAGCTAATGTTTTGATCTGATATGTCCTTAATGGGAATAAACTCCACTTCATGCCATGTCTCTGCAATTCAGTGGAACTTTACATCATTGTGGGTTGTTTGCAGTGGAGCAGTCCACAAACATTTTCAACCCCTCATGGAATGTATTCACGAAAATATCTGCAAAAGAGATTTTGGATTTCTATCATGATATGCACCAAAGAGAAAATAAAATTATGAACATTTATTTGTTCTACAGGTCAAGAGAAAATTATAGACATGACAGTAAATTTCAAAGAGAACACTTCTCCCTACGGGGCAAGGTTCAAAATATTGCAACGTATTGGTGTGTATCAACCAATATGCATCAGTTTTCAGGGTGACCGATACTCTAAATAGGTGGAGTTAGGTGAAGCCTAACTCCGCATTGGGAGAAACCTCATGCACTGGGCTGCCCTTTTTAAAAGTATCAAACAAAAAATTAAAAAAAAAAAAGAAGAGTTGATATTGAGAATTGTATATTGAGAGTATTGATACTTTGAACCTTGATTTTGATCATTATCAGTTGATGTGAACTTCAAGTTATCAAATCAAAAAGGTTAAAAAAAGTATTTTGATTAAAAGAAAAGTACTGATACTATGAATCTTGCTATGACGTGTGGCGAGAGGTATCATCTCTCCAAGCTATTTCTAGAAAGCAGCATCAAAACATACAGAAAACAAAAATGAAGAAGAAAAAAAGTGAGTACTTGGTAGAAATAAAGGTAAAAAACTAGAGAAAAGGAAAGGATTGATGATTAAGTTTGTTATATACTTGTAGGATTTGAACCATATGTTGAAGTTAAACAACAAACCATGGTATCCCAGACTCCCATGCTAATTGCTCCAAACAAGAATAAATGAACATTGTAATATGGGAAGAAATGCAAAGAAAGCAACTGTGGAAAAGAGGACAGAAATTAACAAAAGAAAAGGCAATGAGCTGTGGAAGGGAGTTCAGATGGTGAATGAAGTGACAAGTACAGTCACTGAATAATATTGTTAGATCTTTTGGTGCTGAAGAAAAAAAAAAAAAACAGAGGGGGTGAGGAGAGGGGGAATAAAAAAAATAACAGGGAAGTAGGGCTTATTATCCTTGTAAAAGTAGGCTGGATTTCCTTCAGCACTTACAGCCTTTGTTTCATCAAACTACATAAACACCACTTACAACCATTGTTTGGTACCCTTGTTTGTAACTCCTGCACTCAGAAAGTGTACCCTTTGAATTTTATTAAGATGTGAAAGAAAATCCTACATTCCCACATAGGGATGTGGAAACCAGTACAAAAACACAGCCACAGGCTGACATATGCCAAAAGTAATTACTTTCAAACAAAATTCTTTTTACAAGTTTCACTATGGGCCTGGAGCCCTAAATCAATTCAGTTCTAGTTATCTCAGCTCTAGCCAAAGAGTCTACAACTACCATGCTATCAATAGAGCATGTTGGAAGTTGGAACAATCTAAGATGTGTGACTTAACCTATAGATGTTTCCAAATCATATTCAGCAACATATCTGTTTCTCTGCAAACCAATGGAATTTGTGAAATTCAAGAAGATGGATATAAGAATGGATTCTTTATGAAATTTTGTGTAGACCAAGAATGAGGAGATGTATTAGAAGATTAATTTGGAGGGATTCTTTGCAGTTTGTGCACAAAAGGATGAAAGTCCTCTCTAAAAGAAAACCCAAAAATTATGGAAATTATATTAAAAAAAAGTAGGTCCAGGGATGGAACTTCTTATAAAATTTTGTATGCAAACTTATAATGGGTAGGATAACTTGGGAAGATTTAATTTGAGACATTTCTGGGCAGTTTGGGCACAAAAGGATGAAAACTTCTTTCATGAAAGAAAACCCAGAAATTCTGGAAATTGATATTTTAGTTGGAATTTCAGGTTGAAACTTAGTAGGATGAATTATAACATAGAATAATGAGGAATGACTGAATTTGAAAGAGATTTAATATGCATAAATTAGAAGGATGAAAATTTCCCAAAGAGAAAGGGACCAAGAAAGGCTGAGAGTAAGGAAACTGAAAGAGTGACAAAGGAGACTTGGGTTGTTAGAGTGTCCTATGGAGTGATTAAGAGCCTAAGAAAGAGCTCTAAGAGCTGCTAATTAGAAGATATTGACTAAAGCTGCAATACGGAACTAGGAGAGAAGAGAGACAATACAAAAAGAAGACTGAGAAGAGAAAAAGAAAAGACTAAGAGAGTATCTAGAGGTTAAAGACAAAAAAATACCACTCAGACTTTCAATTCATTCTTTAACCAAACCAAGGCTTACAAAATATATATACCAGATAAGGATAGAACTTAGATTATTGTCACTAAATTATTTATTTATTTAGAAATAGTTTACTAACAAATTATTCTCTCCCCTTGAGCCCAATATTTAGGGCTGTCAACGGGTCAGGTATGGTTTGAGATAACCTATACCAATCCCATCTCAATAAACTTTTTATTCATTCATTTATTTATTTTATTCAATTTAATAAATTATTATATAAACATAAGAAAAACTAGGGCTGAACCAATGGGTTGGGTCTACCCGATGGAGCTAAATTGATTGAACATAATCATAATGGTTATGGTTCCATGATTTTGTCTCGATTAATAATTAGGTTGTTTTTGTTCTTACCTGTCCAAAACTGATTCTGATCCGAAACCAATTATTTTATGGAAATATATAATTTTTTAACTTTCTTGTAATTTGTATTACGTTTTATGTTTGAAATAGTAAATTTGATAGATAATAAATAAAATAGTATTAGTTAAAAAATGTTAACTTATTAACATAAAAATAAATTAGTAAATGATTTTATCCCAATTAAATAATTGGTTCAAGACTGGTTCTACCTAGACCTGACCCGTTGACAGCCCTAAACCAAACTGGGGCCCACTATAGTTATTTATTATTTGTAGTAACATAGTTATAATTATTTTATTTAACAAAAAAGTAATCTAATTTATTATTGTATCTCCAAATGTCATTTTTCTATTTCACCCCTGCGAAGCAGGGGCTTCCCCGCTAGTTATGGTAAATAAAGTTACCAAAATACCCCTTGATAAAATATTCAAAATATCTGAAAAATTCAAAACAAAATCTAGAATGAATTAGGATGATTTGGAACCATCATGGTGCTGACATCAAACAATAATATCATTAATAACAAAGTTCATTCCATCAAACCAAAAGTATATTTTTGAGCTTACATCACTGTTATCAATATTATGATGGCAGTTAGGGCATTCCCGAATTGCCCCCAAGTCTTTAATCTTAGATGCAGAGAATTGAGTGGCATTTTTTACTTTAGTTGCAATTCCTCTACCATCAATAAGCCAAGACCTGCAGAATAATATTTTGTGAAGCTAATGAAACTTAAGAAATAAAAGCATGTAAAATTGTAAAGAGTTTTTCTTGCACAAAAAAATAAAAATAAAAATAAAAAAAGCTTCTGTGTTATGTACATAGCACCAATTGTGCATGAAGAAGCACATAGCATCTTTCATAAGTGCAAGATTCAAACAGTAAACTTCAGCACCTATAAATGCTAAACAACATACTCACTAGAAAAACAAACAAAAAATGGTTTGCAGGAAAACAAAAGAAAAAACATATAATAATTGAAAGAGGAAATACATGGCACTACAGTGATTGGTGAAACTAAAACTTCTGGTTTTCAAAAAGGCAAAAGATAAAAGGTACCTTGTTACCTTGCCTCAAATTATATGAGCTATTCATATGACTGGGCACCTTTTAGACAATGATCAGGTGATCATATAACCACCAAGCTAGAAGATCGAACTTAGAGAGCTAGATCTATTTATTATAAAGTACAGGGAGATAAATATTTTTAGATTTAATAGTCAATCCCAATTCAGATCCCAATATCTTAAATATGCACATGTTGCTTCTTATTAACCCTCAATCTTAATTTACAATCATGATGAGTTTACCTAGAGCTAACCAATATAAGCTAAGGAGTTAAATTCATTTCCAACCAAGCATGCCCTGAACAAGAACTCTGTCACCTGTATACACTCCTTCACTTTCTTTAAATTTATAAAGGCTTTAACACATATTCTCACAGTCCTGAACCTTGACCTTATTCAATCTTAATATGCACAAGTAACTTTCTTATTCAATCCGAATTTACAATCATGATGAGTTTACCTGGAGATAACCAATATACTCCAGTGTCACTGAACAGAGTAGGACAGGATTCAGGTAGCTGGCCCCATATAGTTGGGACAAGGTTTAGTTGAGTTAAGTAATTCCCCTAATGTAAGTGACATGCAAAGTTGCAAAAATGTACATGAAATTAGTGTATGGGAAAACCAATTTGGATTCGTGATATGGAAATCAACCATGGAATTTATCCTTTTATTGAGAAGATTAGGAACAGGTGAGATCTGCACTTTGTATTTACTGACTTAGAAAACAACATATGAGCGAGACTAAGAATACACGTACTGCAATTTTAGCAAACATAGTAGTAACAATAAAGGTGCAATTGGATTGATAACGGAAAGATACGCCAAACTAACTGCTTCTAGCATCTTGGGTTAATCATCCATCATTAGAGAGAGAAACCAAAGGAGATAGAATTCGAGCAGGGTGGATTAACTGGAGATGCATCTGGTGTGTTGTATGACTAGCATATACCAATGAGGATGCTAAGATAGACAAGTGGTTTGATCATGTTCATAGATGACCAATGATTGCACCACTGAGAAGGAATGACTTAGTTCAAGTAGAAGGATCTAAAGTGGTAAGAAATGATCTAAAGATTTGCAATAAACAGAAAATATGGTCTTGATAAAGCAAAATGGTGGGACATGAATCGTGTAGCTGACCCCAAATAGTTAGGATTAAGGATGAGTGGAATTGAGTATACCCATAATATCCCTAGATTTAAGCTATTTTTAAGTTTGGGATTTTTTCCACATGTTATTATCAGTTCTATTTCAGCAGTTATCAAAAATTAAAGTACCATAGCTAAAACAAATCAAGCATTTTCATCTTCTGAATGATGTATTTTCTTTCTATAATTGTTGTTTGATTTCAAACTTCACCTAGAGTATCTCCAAAGTACGAATTTCATAACGATCCCTTCAGTTTCTACAGAACTCAGTCATTACCGAATGAATGCGATAGCATTACATATGCTAGAAGCATCATTAAATAAGATATTGCACCTTCTGTATCTTCTCGAGCAAAAGGAGGGTGATTAAATGAAACCAACCATGAAAGACGAATGCCGAATGGCAACCCTCAAAACATCTCCAAACGAATATGGTAAATAATAAAGGGAACGGCTCAAAAAAAATGAAGAAGAGGAAGTTCACAGGAAATTATACAAAGAGAAAATTGAATTTTTAACAGATTTGAGGATCAACAAAACCAACATGCATTACACACAAATGAAATAAGAGAGGGAGTGCAAAAGAAAGAGATAGCAAGTCATTACAGTTACAGCTCAAGAATGTAGAAATAAGAGAATTGTGTGATTTTTCATAGTCTTACTTGGCCATTTTTCTTATTACAGATCAAGAGAGAAGTTCCGGAGAACGAAGAACATAGGTGATGAGAGAGAGAGAGAGAGCTAATATACAGTGCGGTGATTAATACTTCTCCTTCTCCACTATACGAAGTAAGCGTGAGCGGGAACTAGCTAAGGAGCCGTTAGAAGAGGCTCGGATTCAGAGCCACAGGTTCGGTTAAGAGAATCTTCAGAGACACGAGGCGCCGAGCCACCAAGTAACCTACTAACCTGGGCCCAGCCGTTGACGGAACCTAATTCCGAGGCTGGGGTTCGTCGTCAGAGCCGGACGTTGGAGTCTTGGAGATGTAAACGAGGGAGGAGGAATGGAGGATGGGTTAGGAGTGTCGGACGCGACGCGGGCAGACAAGCTGCCTTGCTTGCCAAGCTAAACAAAGGAAAATGTGATGACTTGTGATTGACCGTTTTTGACTTCAAAATATGACGACCGTACTGAGAAGAGCGTCAAAGCACCTTCGATGAAGCCACGTATCCACTGGATATCTTACAGCAGGAATGTAACACCTGGTGCTGGTATCCATAAACTATAATAAGAATGCCATGGGATTGATTTGTAATCCTTCTGATCGCATTTTCCTTCGTCAGATCCCAATACGACACTTGATAAACATGCATCGGACAGCTGCAAATGCTGGAATCCTGGACACGGTGTGATGAATGTGTCATTGGGTTGAAATTTGGAAATGGCAAATACTCAGCCCATTTCATTTCATGGGTTCAGTCTTCAAAGGTTCGTGCTTGGGCCCATGAGGGCTTCACCCTCAAGTTGGGTTTCTGCTGTGAGTGTGAGACCGCAATAATACTGTTCAAACAATTTGATCTTGGGATGTGCCAATCCAACTTCTGACTTGCATCTGAGACTGTTTGCCTGTTTCTCACGTACGATATGTTGTTAGTGTGTGTTTATGATGTAGAAGTAGCAGATGTTCTCATCCATTCAAATTACAAAACCCTCATTCTAAACAATCCCATATACCGCTTACCACTTATACAGATAAATGATAATAGAGATCACATCCGTATTATAATAAATAGTTTGTGTTTTATTAAAGTCAATTCAGTGACTACTGACTAATGTGAGACAGTTCTTAAAAACATGAAAATACAGGCCCCGGTTTGGTGCGTCGTATTTCGTGTTTTCATTTTTCTCGTTTGGTTGAGGAAAGTAACTGATCAAAGATAGAGTTTCCCAAAGCAAGACATAGGAAGTCCGTTTTCGGTTAATCAAGGTTTTTTTTTTTACTTATTTCGTCTCATTTTCATGTGAAAAAATGCACATAAAAACAAGCCTCTAATCAAATGGACTATGGGCTGCCAACATCCTTATATAAAAGCCCATTATATCTTTTAACGGTCAGATCTTCCAAAAGAACTGAAGATTTTTTCAAAAATGACACCACAATAAAATGAGTCGGGACATATTCCTCACGGACCACACCTCATACTGATCTTACAGCCCCATTTCACCATGCATTGGGAACATCTTCCCATAAATAACAATATAAAGTATGGGCTATAAAAATATGGGTGTGAGGAGACTCTAACAAAATTCAGACAGTAGAGCTCTATAGAGCGAAGACTGGAAGATTAGATCTGCTCTTCACAGTGACTTTACACGCACATTCTATCATGCATTGGGAGCATCTCCCATACTTATAAGTTATTATTCACGGGAAATATTTCCAATACATAGTGGATGTGCTTGTGAGATGCCCATGTGTGATCTCATTAACACATAGCGCTTGTCATACTGACCTCACAGCCAGCCACGTCCCATCATGTATTGGGATATAAGGAAGATGTTCCCTGTGTGACTGATAAATGCTATGAAGCAGATCCGGACTCTTCACTTTCACCCAAAAAGAAACAGGTAAGTGAAAGTCTTGATTCTTGAATTTCTTGTATGGTGTAGATGAAAGATGATGGAATATATTTCACTTTAATGATAACGCCATACCAAACCAGGCCTAAACATAGCAAAAAAGCAAAGCATATTAGGAAACTAGTAATCTCTCTTCACTTTCACGCATGCATATATAGTAGATCCGACAGTTACACCGCAAAACAGCAAAGCATTGCTCAGAGTTTCCCATTTCAGGAAACTAGTAAGAAAGAAGCAAAGCATTCCTCATTCCCCGTATTAACAGTGCTGTGCCTGTGTGCCAACAAATAATTGTTGGGGGCCAACGTATTCTCTTCCCTAACTCGCACTGTCAACTGTCAACCTCTCTCCTTTTCTTCCAAAAGAGAACCTAAAAAAAGAAAGAAAGGAGTTTGGTCTTTTCTTTTGTTGTTGCTAATAATAATTGAAATAAGTGATGAATGAGATGAGACTGTAAAGGCAAACATATGTTCCATTGGACATTGGAGTGTATATAGATAGATAAACATAATTTACCAATTAATTACCAGTCATGCCCAAGCAGTTTATTTGTGCTGATCGAATCATGTATTCAACTTGTTTGGACATGGTGGAATGTAACCACATACGTAATTGCATTTGCACCACTTGTAGGGGGGGGGGGGGTGTAATTGGGCCTAGCCTAGCTTCAGCCCAATTTTAAAAAGTGGGTTGGGTTGAAATCCAATATGTCCATTAATTATATGGGCCACCCGGAACCCAGTCTGATGATCCTGATCCAACTAGATATCATATCACTGGGCTGGGGAGTTTAACATTAACAAACTTGGTTTAGTTTAGGGTTGACCTCTCATCCACTCAACCTAACCCGACCGGACATTTGCAATCCCTAAATTACAAGTAGAGAAGCCACTAGTAGGATGAGGGAGGGATCATAGTTTGTAAAAATAAGATTAGGATGATGTGCAGGAGCTATATGTCATTGAATGGATCCCACCTTGAAATAAATGAATGAATAGGTTAATTAATTGAGTCAGACAAAACATACCCGACCATGCATGCTGTTTTTTGTTGCCGGTCCTCTCCCTGGAAACTTTAGCCGTTCGGTAAAACCAGTCTGGGATGTTTGAGAGCTTCTTCCGCATGACACGTTGTTCCATTCAGTCCTTTATTTGTCTTTTAAGCTAAAAGAAAATTGATTGGAAATCTTGTTTTACTCGAAATGGGCCACATCCATGAAAGCTCCCAAGCATCCCAGGCTGTTTTTCCAACAAGCAAAGTTTTTTTTCGCTCCTTTCCTACGTAAGAACCACCCAATTATGGGAGGGGGCTCCGCAGTCCGCACCCGGTACCCCCCAGGCCCCAGCTAGCTGGCCGGACAAGATTTAGTTTAGTTGGTTTAATTTACTGTTTCACCCATTCTTCCCAAACCCGTAAAGTCGTAAGATATTGAGAAATGCCAAAGCCTAAGCCAACCCTACAACTCCAGGTTTATGTTTGATTTGATAGAAAATATATAAGAGAGAATTAAAAGAAAGTTGTTAACAAAAACAAGGACTTTTAATTGTTTCTCATCTCCCATCAAACCAAACACAGCCTAAGGATCATCAGAATTCAGAAGCAAGTATAAATGCATTATCATTCGATCGATACTTCAAATCACATAAAGGGCTACTTTATTCCCTTTATTACAAAGGTGGTGGAAGATCATGACCATTATCTTTTATTTATTTATTTTTTTTTTTTTTCTTTTGGCCGGCCTTACATGGGATTTGGGAAATGGGATAACCTAGCTCCATGATTACATTTCTAATTAATAAAACTATATACAAATTTGATGTCAAGTATACCATATATATATATATATATATTCTTTTATTTATTATTATTCTTAATTTATAAATTTTATGATAGATTCAAGCTTCGATCTTTCTTGTATTCTCTAATTCATTCTTTAGAAACAGTGAGAAAGCCGTTAGGCTGCAGCTATATAGCTAGCTAGTAGCAATTATATATGTTTATTCTGATTGTACTTTCTCTACCCATATATAGTCCATACACAGGACTTTAGTGGTTGCAACTTGCAAGCACATCTAACTTAGTGCCACATTTCTTTTGTTTGCTTATTTGCTAGGCGCCTCTAATTGTATCAGCTCAATTTATTTATTTATTATTTTTTCTAGCTACCTTTTCCTCTGCTGTTTTATTCAATTCTTTGTAAGTCGATATATGCCTCTAAAGATGTAAAATAAATCTAATCCATCAACATTAATGTTGTTGCTTTAACACTTAAAAAGGCAGAGATTTGAGCATAAAATATAAGATAAAGCTGGCAATAATTAGATTTGCAGTTCTAATTAGCTATGCAATGCATGATTGTCACTTGCCTATATATATATATGCTTTTACTATGGATTGACCCGAATAGTTTAATTTTGAATCCCCTATTCTCCCTAGAATCAATATCAAGTAATAATTCAAGAGAGAGCTTTTCTTTCTTTACGGGTTATGTCCTCTATTTACTTAGTTATCTTCCTTTGGGGTTAAAAATAGTTAATAAAATTTAAAGGTGGCCGCTCCATTTTGGGGTTAAAAATGATGATCTGAAGCTGATTTTCACATTTATTTTTATATATGCTTAGAAAAGATGTCCCATCAACCATAAATTAGAGAATGAAGTCACTATACAGACGATCAGTGCAAATGATTAAACACTAAAATATGTTAGAAAGCTGGTGAATAATGATGAGGAATAAAATATTCCCGAACCTCAACCGGCCGAAAAGGAAGATATGCTATAGAGGGAAAAAAAAAAAAAAAAAAAAGAAATACATACAAACCTTTTTGGATGATTAATGTAACATGTAATCATCAAGAATTCCATTCTGACAAATAGCTAGTAAAAAAGGGACCAAGAAATAATGATAAAAGTGAGAAGCAACCTCTCATAGTGAAAGCAACACTTGAAATAATTTGGGGGTGGGAGGTAAATAAAGGGTAAACGGATAGGGATGGATCGCTGCTAAATTATGTAGTTGCATCCATCTCATCAGACGATTAAAATATGGGGGGTCATATTGTCAACTCAAACCACTATTCATCAACGATAAAATGCCAAAGAAGAGCTAGCTAAGATTGTTGTCTTATCGCACATTCGCACTCATGATCATGTCAAAGCATGCTTATACTTGGACACTGCAGGGAGAGCAAAGGAAGTGGTGGTGTTTTTGTCTCTCAGAGAGTGTCACTACTGTCCCGCCTACCAACCACAGTATATATGGATTCAATTCGTTCTCATTATATATATATATATATATATATATATATATATATATATATTAACAAGCTTTTGCTGGTTTTCAACCAACTCTCTCCATCACCCTATGCAATGACTTCATCATGGATGAATACATGATCTATTTACAATATTATTTCTATATTCAAAAGCATGTATGGATGAAACGTACGCTAAGACAGAGATTCAAATTTGCTCCTAT